CGAGAGCAATCCTGGGAGTTGACGGGGCGCGGGCGCGGAAAAGGGGCAGCGAGGGCCGTCGGCGCGGACAAGGTGGCCTCAGCAAGCCGCGCGAAAAGCAGCGCGTGCGCAGTCGCAAGTTTGGGAGAGCGCACGGAAGGAGGCGGTGGTGACGCGCAAGATGGCGGCGGGGGTGCGCGCGGGCATGGCCCAGTGCGCGAGTAGAGGTGACAACGCCGCCGAAACAAAATTCGGCGGCGTGAAACGGCAGCGCGCCGCGCAAGTGGCCCACGCAATGCGCGACACGTTGGCGGCAACTTCCTCTCGAGAGCCCGGGGCCTTGACCGCCTGGGTGCGGCGGGGGCGTTCGAGGCAGCGCGCCGCTGCCTGAACCGCGCGGTAGACACCTTGGACCCGAAGGTGTTCCAGCAGGCCCTGTCGAACCCCCTGGGCGAGTGCGCGGCGGACTTCCCCGAGGAGGCTCCAATTCTCCTCCGGCGGTAGGGGCCGCAAGGCGCGGACTTTCGGAGGTGTCCTCGGGCGTCTCGGAGCGGCGGTGGCACCATCGGAGCGGAGAGACCTGGAGAGGCCTCCGAAAGGAAGCGTTCGCGCGAGTTGTCGCCCCCGGTCAGGGCCAGGACAGCGTCGGAAGCTGTGCTTGACACAGCGCGTCACCGCGACCTTTCGGAGGCCCCGGGAGATTTCTTGGAGCGGCGGTGGCGCTGTCCGTTCCAAGACGTCGGCAGGGGCCTCGGAACGTTCGTGTTTGCATGCGTCGTCGCCCCCGCGTAGGTGCGCGCGCTGGGCGTGCACGCTTGGCGCGGCAATGGCCGCAACGAGGAGGAGGGGGAGGGCGAAGCACATCGTCGCGACCTTCCGGAGGTCCGCGCGGATTTCTTGGAGCGGCGGCGACGCCGCCCGTTCCAAAACATGTTATCAGGGACCTCGGAAGGTTCGCGTTTGCATGCGTTGTCGTCTTCGCGTAAAGGCGCGCGTCGGGGCGCACGCTCGGCGCAGCAGGGGCCGCAACGTGGAGGGGGACAAGGCGCAGGAACGCGACCTGTCGTTGGTCCTCGCGCGTGTCTCGCAGCGGCGGGGGCGCCTGCGTCTGCGAGAAACCTGCGGGCACCCGCGGAAGTTTGCGTTCCCGTGCGTTGTCGCCCTCGCGAAAGGGCCGCGTGCAGGGGTGGCGCGCAGGAAGATTGCGCTCCTTCCGGCAAACTGTGTTCAGGGCGCGCGTGCGGCCCCTTTTTGTTTTGCTTCTAGACGACGAAGGCGTGCCCCGGACAAACTTCCAGGCGGGGGAACTTCCAGGTGGGGGAACTTCGGGGGGTCCGTTAACATCCCTCCATGTTTCCCGGAGGAGGCCGCGCGCGTGCCCGGAACGCCCTTCTGTGTGTTGGGGGGGCTCGCGCGGCAGCAGCAGCAGCAGCAGGGGTGGGTGGGGGGGGATGGAGGCAGATGACGACGAAGAGGGGAAGGGGGAGGAGGAGGAGGAGGAGGAGGAAGAGAAGGAGGAGGAGGAGGAGGAGGAGGAGGAGGAGGAGGATAAGGAGGATGAGGAGGAGGAAGAAGAAGAAAAGGTAGAATGATGGGAAGCTGGCACAGGCCAGCGTGGCAGACCAACACCGCAGACAGCGCGGCACGCCAGCGCGGAGTTCTTTGGCGTGCTCAACCAGATGTTATCTGACAAGCCCTGCGGACAAAGCGGCGCTTCCCGTTCTTGTCCGGTCAGGTTCCGCTCAACATGGCCGTTTCGCCTGCGACATGCTCGAACAAAAACGATGTTCAAGCCGCGTGGTCAAGACTTAACATGAGGCTTTCGCTCGAGACATCCTCGGACAACGATCTACTGAGCTCGCTCGCGAAATTTAGCGAATCGTCGGAAATTGCCGTTTCGCCTGAGACATCCTAGAGCACTTGAGCTGTTGAAGCCGTGTGGTTAAGACGGCTCTCGTTAAACATGTGGCTCTCGCTGGAGACATCCTCGGACAACGGCACTCGCAGCATCTTAGCGCGAGGTCCTGTTTCCTCTGTCTCTGACGTTTCCTTTGTCTCTGAGGTCTCCTCTGTCTCTGAGGTCCCCGCGCCCTCCGTCTCTGAGGACTCCTCCGTCTCTCCTCCGTCTCCTCCGTCATCCTCCTCCTTCTCCTCTTCCCAATTTCATTATTATCATCGTCTTTCTTCTCCTCAGTCTCTTCCTCTTTCATCATGCACGCGCGCCGAGCATATCCCCCGCCCGTCGCCCCCATGACGCATCCCGCGCGCACGCCGTGCATCTCCCCCGCCCGTCGCCCCCATGACACATCCCGCGCGAACGCCGTACATCCCCCCCGCCCGTCGCCCCCATAACACATCCCGTGCGCGCGCCGTACATCCCCCCGCCCGTCGCCCCCATAACATAACCCTGCGCACGCGCGCGCACGCGCAAACCGCCGCTCTCATAGGCGTATGCACAAACGCGCGCACACGCACACACACACACACGCACGCACGCACGCACGCACGCACGCACACGCACGCACGCACGCACACACGCACACACACCCACACCCACACCCACACCCACACCCACACCCACACCCACACCCACACCCACACGCACACGCACACGCACACGCACACGCACACGCACACGCACACGCACACGCACACGCACACGCACACGCACACGCACACGCACACGCACACGCACACGCACACGCACACGCACACGCACACGCACACGCACACGCACACCCACACGCACACCCACACCCAGCACCCACACCCACACCCACACCCACACCCACACCCACACCCACACCCACACCCACACCCACACCACACCCACACACACCACACCCACACCACACCCACACCCACACCCACACCCCACACCCACACCCACACCCACACCCACACCAACACCCACACACCCACACCCACACCCACACCCACACGCACACCACACCCACACCCACACCCACACCACACACCCACACCCACCACACCCACACCCACACCCACACACGCACGCACGCACGCACACGCCACGCACGCACGCACACAGACACAGACACACAGACACAGACACAGACACAGACACAGACACAGACACACAGACACACAGACACAGACACAGACCACAGACACAGACACCACAGACACAGACACAGACACAGACACAGACACAGACACAGACACAGACACAGACACAGACACAGACACAGACACAGACACAGAAACAGACACAGACACAGACACAGACACAGACACAGACACAGACACAGACACAGACACAGACACAGACACACACACACACACACACACACACACACACACACACACGCACGTTCGCACCAGTGTAACAGCAACCGCGAGCAACCAGTCAGGTCGAAAAAACAGCCACGAATCCTGCTTTCCGCGTGCGACGCGGGTTTTGGCAGACTCTCTGTGGGGGGGGGGCTTGGGCCCCCCCCCGCGCGATCCCTGGCTAATCGTCTGTGTGTGTGTGGGGGGCTCGCGCGGCTGCAGCAGCAGCAGGAGTGTGAGGAGGAGAAGAGGCAGATAACGACGAAAAAGGGAATGAGGAGGAGGCGGAGGAGGAGGAGGAGGAGGAGGCGGAGGAGGAGGAGGAGGAGGAAGGAAAGAAGGTAGAATGATGGGAAGGAGACAAAGGCCAGCGCGACAGACCAGCACAGCAGACAGCGCGGCACGCCAGCGCGGAGTTGTTTGGCGTGCTCAACCAGACGTTATATGAGACGACCTGTGGACAAAGCGGCGCTTCCCGTTCTTGTCCGGATAGGTTTAATTTCGACCTCGCGACCCTTGTGGGGCTGCGATCTGCGAAGTTGTCGCCACTTCGGTGGGCTGCTGGTGGGCCCAGAGGAGTGAGGCACCTTCCAGAGTCAAGTTCGGCCTCGCCACCTTCGGGGGGGGTACGATCTGCAAAACTGTCGCCACTTTGGAGGGCTGCTGGTGGGTCCAGCGGAGTGGGGCACCATCCAGATTCAAGGTCGACCTCGCCACCCTTGGGGGATTGAGATTTGCGAAGCTGTCGCCACTTTGGGTGGGCTGCTGGTGGGCCCAGCGGAGTGAGGCACCATCCAGATTCAAGGTCGGCCTCGCCACCTTTGGGAGGGTACGATCTGCGAAATTGTCGCACTTGGGAGGGCTGCTGGTGGGCCCAGCGGAGCGAGGCACCATCCAGATTCAAGGTCGACCTCGCCACCCTTGGGGGATTACGATCTGCGAAACTGTCGCCAGTCTGGGGGGCTGCTGGTGGGCCCAGCGGAGTGAGGCACCATCCAGATTCAAGGTCGACCTCGCCACCCTTGGAGGGCTGCGATCGGCGAAATTGTCGCCGCTTTGGAGGGCTGCTGGTGGGCCTGGCGGAGTGAGGCACCATCCAGACTCAAGTTTGACCTCGCCACCCTTGGGGAACTGCGATCTGCGAAGCTGTCGCCACTTTTGGGGGCTGCTGGTGGGCCCAGCGGAGTGAGGCACCATCCAGATTCAAGTTCGACCTCGCCACCCCTGCGGGGGCTGCGATCTGGGAAACAGTGCAACTTTGGAGGGCTGCTGGGTGGCCCAGCGGAGTGAGGCACCATTCAGATTCAAGGTCGACCTCGCCACCCCTGGGGGGTTGCGATCTGCGAAATTGTCGCCGCTTTGGAGGGCTGCTGGGTGGCCCAGCGGAGTGAGGCACCATCCAGATTCAACTTGGACCTCGCCAGCCCCGGGCAACTGCGATCTGCGAAATTGTCGCCACTTTGGAGGGCTGCTGGTGGGCCCAGCGGAGTGAGGCACCATCCAGATTCAAGGTCGACCTCGCCACCCTTGGAGGGCTGCGATCTGCGAAACCGTGGCCGCTTTCGACCAGGTTTTGCTGTCCGAGATTGTCCGTCGGGGCCTCGTCGGGCCTCTTATCACTCATGACCCCTGACCACGAGCAATGCTCGGGTGCCCTTGCTCGTCGGTTTGTGGTTTCGACACCGCCCTTCGAGGTTGCCCATCGGGCCCCCGGTAAACTATTATTTCCACGAGGAAGGCTCGCGTGCCCTTCCTTGCCTTTCGGTTTGTGATGCCGCCGCTGCTCTCCGAGGTTTTCCATCGGGCCCTCTGATCGGGAAACTCCCATAGTGAATAATCTCTAGCAAGCCCTTATCCCTTGATCGGGGACCTGCGAGTCTCCCGAATGCCGCTCGCAGACGTATATTCGCCCATGTCACGTCATCATCCTCTTATAAGGTCTCCCAAGCTATTCATGCTCCGCATTGCGCAGTGGTTTGGCACGTCGCCAAGGTAGTTTGTTTGAAGAATGTCCCAGGCCAAACGGTCGTTTCTGAAGCGTCGAAGATGAGGCCATCTATTTCCACATCCACATTTCCCGTGGACGTCTCGAGCAAAACGCTCATTTTCATCATAAGGCATCTTGGGCTGGAACCCCTCAGAACGCGATTTTGTTGAGGATGCCCGTGGCGACGCGGCCGTTGTTAGAAGAGTGTTTGGAGAATTGCGCGCCCTTCCGGTCCACTGCGCGTCGTTCCGGTGCGACTGGACGTGCCGAAGGCCCAGGGGGAATTCTGTTTCCGAAAACAACCAAAAGCCAAACCGACAGGATCAAGCACGCGAAGCACTCTTGTGATTACTCAACGTTGGGCGGCGGATCGAAGACGCCTACTGCGAATCACCGCCGCCCCCTGCTCTGTTGAACCGCAGCTGTGGGTGAAGGTAGGGGCTCGAGCTTGGCCCATACATCGGACCATGCGTACCCCGAAGTGGTCAGTTGAGCATTCGGGGAACGCGCGTTGGAGAAGGAGGATCAGGAGGAGTTGGCGGAGGAAACGAGGAAGATGACGAGGAACAGGGGAAGAAGGAGGAGGAGGGCATGAGGGGGAGGAGGGGGAGGAGGAGAAGGAAGGGGAGGAGGAGAACGGGAAGGAGGAAGGGCCCATTTGGGAGGTCATACGAGAGCGGCCCCGAAGGCAATTATTGTAAGGATGTTTCGATGGAAACGCTTACTTCTGAACAATGACACTAACACCCACAGCTTTTTTCCCAACCATCCTGTGGTGTTGGGTCCTCGTTTTGAAGAGACGGTCCCCGCGTCCTCCTCTCCTCTCCTCCTCTCCTCTCCTCCTCCTCACCCTCCTCCTCCCATTCCTCCTCCCACCATCATCATCGTCATCACCCATTTCGGCACACCCCTCACACGTTTCGTGGCCCCATAGGGAGCTCCACCGAAGGTCCCAGTGGGTGTGCCCGCATGCGTCCCGCACACCCATTTCGGCACACCCCTCACACGTTTCGTGGCCCCATAGGGAGCTCCACAGAAGGTCCCAGTGGGTGTGCCCGCATGCGTCCCGCACACCCATTTTGGCACACCCTTCACACGTTTCGTGGCCCCATAGGGAGCTCCACCGAAGGTCCCAGTGGGTGTGCCCGCATGCGCGTCCCGCACACCATTTCGGCACACCCCTCACACGTTTCGTGGCCCCATAGGGAGCTCCACCGAAGGTCCAGTGGGTATGCCCGCATGCGTCCCGCACACCCATTTCGGCACACCCCTCACACGTTTCGTGGCCCCATAGGGAGCTCCACCGAAGGTCCCAGTGGGTGTGCCCGCATGCGTCCCGCACACCCATTTCGGCACACCCTCACACGTTTCGTGGCCCCATAGGGAGCTCCACCGGTCCCAGTGGGTTTGCGGCACACCCCCTCACACGTTTCGTGGCCCCGCTCCACCGAAGGTCCCTCCATGCGTCCCGCACACCATTTCGGCACACCCCTCACAGCCCCATAGGGAGCTCCACCGAAGGTCCCAGTGGGTGTGCCCGCATGCGTCCCGCACACCCATTTCGGCACACCCCTCACACGTTTCCCGCTCCACCCACCGCACACCCCTCGGTCACGTTTCGTGGCCCCATAGGGAGCTCCACCGAAGGTCTCAGTGGGTGTGCCCGCATGCGTCCCGCACACTCATTTCGGCACACACCTCGCACGTTTCGTGGCCCCATAGGGAGCTCCACCGAAGGTCCCAGTGGGTGTGCCCGCATGCGTCCCGCACACCCATTTCGGTACACCCTTCACACGTTTCGTGGCCCCATAGGGAGCTCCACCGAAGGTCCCAGTGGGTGTGCCCGCATGCGTCCTGCACACCCATTTCGGCACATCCCTCACACGTTCCGCGGCCCCATAGGGAGCCCAACCGAAGGTCCCAGTGGGTGTGCCCGCATGCGTCCCGCACACCCACTTCGGCACATCCCTCACACGTTTCGTGGCCCCATAGGGAGCTCCACCGAAGGTCCCCGTGGCGCAGTCCGCTTGCGTCTTCCCCACCCAGTACACCTCCGCTGGAGGCCGTCGGAGTTCCGCGCCTCGCTCGCCCGTCGTCGCTCTGCCCAGCGGCAAGAGCCTTGCCCGCTATCAGCCAGCCAGCTATCTCTTGTTGCTGCGCGCAGCGGACGACCTGCGCGCGTCGCTGGGACCCCTCCGGGGCGACCTGCGCGCGTCGCTGGGACTCCGCGCTGCGCTGCGCCTGCAGCTTTTGAGTGCGCGGGCAAAGAGGGAGTAAAAGAAGGGGAGGAAGCGGGCGCGATCCTCGCGGTGGCGTCGCGGCGCGCGGGCGATGCCGTCGGGGAGCCCCGGGGAAGCTCCTTACGGCGGCCACGCCCAGCGTCACGAGTACTCAGCGGCAGTCATTCACAAACTATTGGCATTCATATACAGTTGCACCATGCGTTGGCGAACTCGCATTCATGCGCGTAGACTCGCTCGCACGCAGATTCATTCACAGTCAGACGCACTCGCGCTCATATTCACCCGTGCTCAGTCTCCCTACGTACTCAGATCAATCGTTTTCGTTCGCGTCGTGTACCACGCCACTCATTTCGGCACACCCCTAGCACGGTTCGTTGCCTCATAGGGATCACCACCGAAAAAGAGAATCACAATTGCGGTATTCACACCTGCATATGGTTGGGTCCTTCGTCAGGCTAATTTTTCAAAAGTTGCGCCTCTGGAGCTGTTTGGGATGTAATGCGAGGGCGCTCCCGAAGGCGAGGATGTCTCGAGTGAAACACAAACACCTGGTGTTTTTTAGGAGTTCCGCTTCTTGGGCCATCTTGGACATCATCCGAGAGCGCTCCAGCATGATCTTCGGCCCATGTTTGTGTGGCATTTGAATCTGAGGATCTCCCACGCAAAACGGCCGTGGTTGAAACTATTGAAGATGTGGCCGTCGATTTCCACATCCAAAATTCCCGAGGATGTTAAAAAAAAAAACGCTCATTTTCAACAGAAGGCATCTCGGACTGAAATCCCCGACGAACGCGAAGTTTTGAGGATGTCCCTGGCGGAACGGCAAGTTTTTGGCACTGGCAGGTATTCCGAATTCCATAATGAAGGAAAGAGGTTCTGAACCCCTCCAGACGATCGTTGCAGACGCCCCCCCGTGGGAGACCCCCTCAAAACCTCGTCCCCCGACCCCCCTCGGCCCTCCATGATAGCCTCAACCAGACCCCCCCCCCCGGAATCAGACACCCCCCATTGATTACGGAACGGGGGGTACGTTTTCCGGTCCACTCCGGGCGTTGCGCGGCTTTCCGGGTGGCTGGCGCCGCACGAGGCCGGAGCCCCCGGGAGAGCGTTTTCGGAAAAGAAACACAACCAAAGTTAAGAAATACAGCTCGCCAGGCACCCCTGTGATGAATCAACAGGGGGCGGCTGATCGAAGATGCCCACGGCGAATCACCGCCGCCCGCCGCCCCACCCCTTTTTGGAAGCGCCTATGTGGCCGAAAGCTGGGTTAGAGCTTGGCCAAGCTATCGGACCACGTGTTCCCCGAATCGGCTTGGAAAGCTTTCGGGAAACGTGTGGGGGAGAAAGGAGAAGAGGAGGAGAGCGAGAAAACAAGGAGGAGGCCTCTTGGGAGCCTCTTGGGGCACTCTTGGGGCCTCTTGGGGCTGCCTGGGGGCTTCCTGGGGCCTCTTGGAGGCCTCTTGGGGCCTCTTGGGGGCCTTTGGGGACTTCTTGGGGCTTCTTTGGCCGTCTTAGGACATTCCTGGCCTGTCTAGCGACGTCGGGAGCCGTTTGGGGGGCCTCTCTGAACCGATTTGGGGCCTTCTTGGGGCGTTTCAGGACCGTTTCGGAGGCAACCTTGGGCGTCTTGGAGGCCTCCTGGGTCGTCTTGGGGCACTCGTGGCGCCTTTGGGGGCCGCCTGGGAGCTTCTTGGGGGCCTCTTGGAGGCCTTTGGGGCGCTCTTGGGGCGATTGTGATGGCTTCTTTGGCCGTCTTGGGCCGTCGGATGGCAGAACGAAGGGCAACCTCCCAACTCCTTCAACACCTCAGGAACATCAATACATTTCGCCTCTTGGGGCGTTCCTGCAGGTCCTCTTGGAGGCCTCTTGGGCAGTCTTGGAGGCCTCTTGGTTTTTTGTGGGGGGTTTCCTGGGTCGTCTTGGGCCATCTTGAGGCTATATTGGACCGTCATGTGTGCATCTTGGGCCGTCTTGGAGACATCATGAGGCCATCTTGGGCGAACTTGGAGGCCACCTTGGGCCATCTGGGTTGTCTTCGGGAGGCCATCTTGAGCAGTCTCGGAGGACTTTGGGGGAACGTCGAGGTCGTTTATGCGGCCCCGAGGGGCGCGCAATCGACCTCAACGTCCACAAAACCCTTTTTGAAAACAGCCGCTACGCTAGGGACATCCTCAAAATATCGCGCTCTTGGGGATCCCAGCCCAAGATACCTTGTGATGAAAGTTAGCGTTTCGCTCGAGACAGCGCATCTTGGGCCGTTTTGGAGACATCTTGGGCCCTCTTGGGGGGGGAATGGACACAGGACTTGAGGACACGCCCACTCCGTGCAGGAGTTCGCGGTGGCGGATTGCAAAATGCGTTTCCCAGCTCGAAGATTAACCTAATCAACTTGGCCCATGGTGGTACTACAAGCTCCGTAGTTCTAGGTGGAATCGGTTTGTTATTTCAAAGTCTCGGTGACTTGAATATTGACATTGTCATATTGGACACCTTGGTTAATGATGCTTCGGAAGGGAAAAGGTGGGGCACAGCAACAGCTTCTCCATTGACAGCAGAAAGGGTGGTCTCCATAACGTATGAAGGGCTTGTCCGCGCAGTGCATGACCAATACCCCAAGACAATGCTTGTATCGTTGTTTACCGGCTGTCCAAAATGCCATCGGATGAAGCCGCACCAGCACGCCATCGCCAACCATTTCAATATTCCACATATTGATTATGGGTCGCTGGTGCTCGCACACCCCGAAGATCCACGAATCTGGAATGGCAAGAATCATCCAGATTGGATGGGGCACCAACTGGTGGCAGATGTGATCGCAGGCGTGTGGGACAAAGTGTTAGAGAAGAGTTGCGCCAATGCAGATACGGATTCGCATGTTTGGCCAAGTGCACCATTCAATAAAGAAGAGGAACTCGCATTATTTCCGTCATGCAGGCACCCGATGTCTTGGTTCTCGGCTTTCGAGTCCATCAAACCGCACAGTAAAGTACCTCAGCCAAGCTACCTCGATGGCTGGCGGCTATTTGAAGACCGGCCAGGAAAACCTGGATGGATTTCTGAAACCCCGTCTGTGAACAGTCGCGCAATCATGCGTGTACCATTAAAGTTCGGCCCGGAACCGAAACTGGCAGTGACATTCCTTCGCAGTTATGAGGGCATGGGAGATGCGGACCTAGTCATGAATGGCAGAACTGCGACATTGCATGGCCTTTGGGGGAGCGAGAACGTTGAAAAAGTATCACAATCATTTGTGGCGTGGTTCAATGCGGGGATCAACTTGTCGCAGCCACAGTTCGGCGAGGGTGGAGCCAACGGGTTTGGCATAGCACCGAACCAAGAAGCGGAACTTGAAATCCAGTCTTCGGGCAGTAGATTTAAGATTATTGAAATATCTTCATGCTAGGCTAATTGCCAGCCCCCAATCTTTTGCTAGACTGCACGTTTGACGGCATGCTGTGAATTCTAGTCGGCCAAAAAGAAACAAGCGCAACCTCATATGTAGTTGCCTTCGGCATATCCCGCCACCGTGCCAGGATAGCGGGCGCATGGGCTAGACAATACTGGCTGGGAGTTTTAGGTGAAGTTTCGTTTCGGGGGTTCTTTGGGAGAATCTGCGGGCGTGGCTGAACGCCACAAAGACCGATGGCATGTTCCATTAGAGGCATGTCGTCTGTGTGCCTCAAGTGGTACCAGTCATTGCCACTTGAGGCATCTCGCGGGCGTGCCTTCCGCGGGAGGGGCGTTGGCTCTTGGTGCCTGGGTTGCGTTGCGTGCCTCAAGTGGTGCCACTTGAGGTAGATCGGCCGAAGGGGGGAGGGGACGACGACGACAGAGGGCTCATGGATGTTGGTCGGGATCTCGTGGTTGGCCTCTCGGGAGCCTCCTGGGCGCGGATTGGGAGCCTCTTGGATACCGTTTTGAGGTGTCTGTTGGCTCTCTTGGGAGCCTCCCGGGGTCTCTTGGGGGTCTGTTGGAGGCCCCTTGGGTCATTCTTGAGGCCTCTCGGGGCCTCTTGGGGCCCTCTCGGGGCGGCAGGTTCAGTTTTCGGTTTTTGATGGCCTCCTTGGGCCCCTCTTGGCGCCGTCCTGGGGCTGTCTTGGGCCTTCTTGGGCGCCTCTAGGGGCGGTCTTGGGATGTCTTGGGCCGTCTTGGCGGCCTGTTGGGCCGTCTCGGGGCGGTCTTGAGCGCCTCTTGGCCCGTCTTGGAGCGTCGGAGATCGGAACGGGCGGGAAAGCCCAAACCCTCCAAACCGTACGGGAATCAACGTTCTTGGCCTCTTGAGCGCTTTTTGGTGGCCTTTTCGGAGCCCCTTGGCGCCTCTTGGGGACCCCCTTTGGGGCGGCTTGGGGCTCCTTGGCGGCCTCTCTTGGGCCTCTTGGGGCCTTCTGGGGCCGTCTTGAGGCGGTAAGCTTGAGCTTTCGGTTCGTGGTCCCTTCCCTTGGGCCCGTCTTGCGACTCTCTTGGGCCCTCTTGGACGCCTTTTGGGGCCCTCATGGGCCGTCTTGCGGCCGTCTTGGAGGCCTCTTGGGCCGTCATGGGGCGGTCTTGGGTGCGTCTTGGTCCGTCATCGAGCGTCGGAAACCCGAAGAGAGCAGAAGAAAGCCAACATCCTTGAAACACCTAAGGCAAATCAACGTTTTTGGCCTCATGGGAACTGTTTGGGGGCTTCGTGGAGCCTCTTGGGGACCTCTTTAGGGTCGCTTGTGGCTCCTTGGGGACCTCATGAGGGCTCCTTGGTGCCTCTCGTGGACTCTTGGGGGCATCTTGGGGCGGGAGGTGGAGATACGCGAATTCGGGCACCCCCTTAGAGGCCCCGATCCTTATGAGGGGGGCCCAAAAATGCCCTGCCCAAACTCACGCGACAAGACACGGGAAGGCCAGCGCGATTTGAGAATGGGGGCTCCTGTCCTTTCATAATTCTTCAGGAGTGATTCTAGAGACCTGAGTACACGCCCACTCCGTGCCGCAGGGCGCGGTGGCGAAATTAGACCGCTGCGCGGAGACCGCCAGCCCCCCGATCATGGAGCAGGGATGGGCGGGCGTTTATTGGCAGGTGTCGGATGAATTGGTTTCCGGAAGGTGTACGATCCATGTTCAGGCGGCTTTCGGACCAGAGCGGAGACCCGATACAAGGGACAAAAACAAAGAACACAAGGCAGCAGTCCGGCAGTCCCACGCACAGCCTTGCGCCCCCAAGGGGGCCGGAGTGTGTGGTGGACGTGCCTCGTTTGGGTCGGGCCCCAAAACGATGAGGATGATAGTGTGTGACCCAGTGGTCGCAGGAAAAAAACATGCGTCCCACACGTTTTTAAAAGGGGTTCGAACGGCCCTACAAGTGCGTTTCGCTGCGTTGGGCGGGCCCGAAAACCGTTTTAATGAGTTCGGTTTGTCGCAACATGCGCTCGCGAGCGTTTGGCAACGTTCGGGATCAGATGCGTGTTGTCTCCTTGCATGGGGATGTATCCAGATGTTTGGGTTGTTAGCTTTCCCGCCGGTTGTTGTTTTGCATTTGTGGTAGTTGGTAGTGGTTCGCCCATCGCGGTTTTCGGCGTTTGGTTAATTCTCCGAGCACCTCGCCTTCAGGGTGGCCATTTCGACGTTCTAGCACATTCGCGATGATGGAGGGATATATTGTACCACGTTTCTTGTCAAAAATGAAGCTATCGCTGCAGATATCCTCGAACAATTATGAGATTGAAGTCGCTCGCGAAGCGCTCCATTCCCTGAGGTCTCATCCGGCTAAAATATAGCTGTCTTTCGTTACGGCTAAACAAACGGTCACAGCTATTTTTTAGCTGTGCACTTAAACATGTTATGTATAGCAGCATTTGCACATACATACAAATGTTCGACCGAAAACTTAATACTTAACGAACTTGTGCATATGATATATTGCAACCGATGAAATTCATCAATGAGTATCATCCCCCTCTCTCACACACACACGTAAATATGAATGCATATACACACTACACATACGCACCTGCTGCAGCATGCAGTTTTTGAAAGCGAGCCGACCTCCATCCAGATATATGTTGGGTCCTGGTCTCCACGGGGCGTGCCCGGAGAGGGGAATGCGAGCGGTGCTTGGAGCGATGGCTAAGTGGCGGTGCGTTTGGCGCCGCCACTGGGCCACCCGCGGGCCGTTTGCAATTTCGTCTCTGGGTTGCCTCGGAGTGGAGCCCAGCGGGTCGTCTAGGTGCACAGAGTCTTGGGTGGGAGTCTAGGGATCAGGAGTCTTGGGCGGGAGTCTAGGGACCAGGAGTCTTGGGCGGGAGTCTAGGGACCAGGAGTCTAGGGCGGGCGTCTAGGGACAGGGAGTCTGTGGAGGTAGTCTAGGGCGGGAGTCTAGGGCTAGGGGTCTAAGTAAATATGCTCCTCTCCGCCTCATAATATCACACATTATAACCCATCTTGCATGCTGCGCACTGTTTGACTTGAACGAATGCTGCATACTGCAGCTGTTTGTTTACTCAAGCAATCTTTTGTTTGCTTGCAGGAAAGAAAAGGAGCGCGCCTGCCCTCGGCCGTCGCGTGTCGTTGGTCGTCGGCGGGCCGGCCTCCTCCCTTCACATTCCTGATACAGTAAACTTGCTTAACGGATACTTGTCTTATCGATGTCTCATCCCGTCCCCTCTCTCCCTGAGCAGAGTGAGCATGAGATCTTAATTCCTTTGGCACCTTACCCCGATTCTCAGAAGAAAGACTGGTTATCAGCCGAACCGCGCGACGTAGTCGAAGCGGGATCATACCAACCAGAGGCAGGAACTTCGGATGAACCCTGCGACTTAGTCGCTGCGGGAATGAGCTATGATAAGACAGATGATATATCCGTCACTTCGCGAAGCGCAGATCATTGCGTTGTACAACGTGACGGACATGACATTAATGAGAGAGGTCCTGGTCAGGGCCGCATTCCTCCTTCCAATATCGCCATCGCCACTCGGGTATCTAGGGGTAAAAGCGCTGAAGGGGTGGTAGAGATGTCGGTCGATGTCTCTCCCTCTGGAACTCCGATTGGTAATCGGGAACAGACCCCAGACCCGTATGGACGAACTAGCACAACAGCAAGACCTAGAAGAAGTGCATTCTTGTCTTGGAGTGCCAAATCGACGGAGTCAGTCCGCCCGATTCCGAACGCTACACATACAATCGTACCGGCCACTGGTGAAGCCAGTCGACCAGGGGAAGTTCACGAGAACACAGGCGTGTACCCCAGCGTCCCAGGCGAATGGGCAGGTACGAAGAGAAATGTTCCCTTCCCATCAGCGTTACATGGACAGCTCGGCCAAGACAGTGATGATCCTGTTGATAAAGAGCATGAAATAAACTCAATGGAGGAAGATTTTGACTGTATCAACAAGGGAATCTCTCTGAACCGAGAATTGTCTTCGTTAATGGAAGCAGACCACCCCGCCCAAGGCGAGGTGGTCCCCAGATGGATCTGATGAAGATGCCAGTGGCCTGACGCCTCAGGCGGACAGGACTGAGACTCAGGCGAAGCATGACAGGGAGTCTACAGGACGGACTCCTGCACCTCAACTCAAGAAGCAGAGAAACGAGGATTACGTCTTAAACGTCTCACCACTGAAAGAAGGTTTCTATCGTCCTGCCGTCGCCTCAGGCGACTAGCAACCCTCGATGCCAGCTGTTGTTGAGGATGAGGAAATGGTTGGACAACCAGCTTCGTGCACTGAGCTCATAAGACAGGACGGGAGGGATGAGTAGCTCCTAGAGGCACCCAAACCCCCAGAAGGTACTTTCGTTCGCCCCAGATCGAATGCGTTCAGCAGGGGAAGTCCCAAGATGCCAAGAGCAGGAGCGAGATCGACATCAAGTGGCAACAGTACCATCTCCATAATGGGGACATTTCTGGAATCAGAACTTAGACTGCGCGCCTCAGGCGGAAAGCAGATGCCCAGGTTAAACCAACAAGCCAGAAGGTGCATGTCGGCATCCAGTATGTAAGAGCTGCTCTGAAGTATACCCTAGGTGTAATACCCAATGGTTGTGTATCGAGTGCTTCCCAATGGACGAGCATAACTGCGCATATCTTTTCATGCAAACTACTCAGGATCAGGCTAGACTAGCCGAGGCTAACACCCAGCGAGAGTTTCTGACCAGCGAAGTACAGCTGGCCGAAAGGGCCCGACTGGATCGAGAGGAGATGACAGAAACCATGGCAGAAGTGCAGAAGACATTTGAGGCTGAAAGACTCGCCCTAGCCATGGCTGCTAGATAACGAGAACGAGAACTGATGGAACAAGTGTATCATCGGACCACGGCCGCTAAGCGGCAGGCGGAGATGTAAGCCGAGAGTAGATATCTAGAAATGCTGGCTTCGGAACGACAGGCCGCTGTGGCGGCAACTAATCAGTCTGTTGATGCCAAAACGGTCACCGCTGCTGTTGCGGCGGCTAGAGTAGAGGGAAAGCAAATCGCTACAGTCAGGGCGGAACGAGAAAATCAGATCTTACAAGAAGAGCTTAAAAACGCCA